TGAGCGATCAGCAAACAAATGCCAAGCAGCGTGGACGATAGTAAGGCGAGTTTCTGGAGAGAAGAAGGAGGTCAGCAACAACCATTCTGCCGAGGACTTCAATAGATTCTTCATCGACTCCGTAAACGATGTTCGAGCCAGCATTCCTGTGAGTCCCCTGCCTGCGGATCACTTCCTGCAGCAAGTGAAGAGGCCCAGCACCCAACTTGAGTGGAATGAAGTGTCATGTGATGATGTGCTCAGTGCAGTGTCAAAAATGAAATCCTCAAAAAGCAAAGATGTGTATGGTCTCACAAGCAATATTGTTAAACACATTATCTTTGAAATAGTAATGCCCCTTGTCTTTTGTATCAACCTATGTCTGAAAGAGGGTGTTTTCCCAACCTCCCAAAAAATTTCTCGAGTCATCCCAATTTTCAAAAAAGGGGAAAAATCACAGATTAAAAATTATCGTCCTATTTCTCTGGTCCCTATAATTGGCAAGATCATTGAAGCTGTCATCAAACCTCAGGTATGTTCTTTTTTTGACACAAACAAAATTTTTTCAAATTTTCAATTTGGTTTTCGTAAAAGTTTGTCTACCGTGGATGCCCTGGACCACCTTGTTTCTAAGATTTTGAGAGCTTTTGAGGAGTCGAGCTTTGCTCAGATCACAGCTTGTGATCTGAGTAAAGCATTTGACTGTATTGATCACAACATACTCATCACTAAGCTGGAGTACTATGGCATCCGCGGTATACAGCTTAAGTTTTTTGATTCATACCTGAGAGAGAGAACTCAATTCGTTGATGCAGGAGGCAAGATGTCAAGCTGCTTGAAAGTTAGCTCAGGTGTGCCACAAGGCTCGATTATAGGCCCCCTTCTTTTTATCACAGTCATCAATGACCTACCAGCCAATATTAAAAGATCCTCTACCATCATGTTTGCGGACGACACCAATTTTTTGAGTGTTCATCCCAACTTTTATGATCTTATGTCAGTAACTGAGCTCACAACTGATTCAGCTTATATGTGGTTTAATGCTAATAGCCTTTGTCTTAATAAGAATAAAACTCAAAATCTATTGTGTAGTCTTAAAAACATTCCAGTAGAGTCACAAGATGTAAACAATGAAAATGTAATTACAGTTTTAGGAATAAAAATTGATAAATGTTTAAGCTGGTCTCCTCAGATAGATTTGGTTTGTGCAAGATTGTCCAGAGTAATCTGTTTGGTTAGAAATCTTATGGGTGTTGTACCTGAAACCTACATAAGGGTAGCCTACTTTGCATTTTTCCAATCCATAATTAGCTACGGCTTGATTCTTTGGGGAAACAGTAGTCACATAAGTGAAGTGTTAATACTCCAAAAGAAGGTAGTTAGAATAATAAACAAAGCTCCAATTGAAGAGCATTGCAAGCCATTGTTCATAAGAAGTAAAATATTGACTGTGATTAATCTGTACATATTTATGTGTTTACTTAGGGTTAAGAAAAATACTAGTTCCCATGTTTATAGGTTTAATATCCATTCACACAACACACGTAATCAGTTCCTATTAGACGTGCCTTATTGTAGGTTAAGTAAATGTAAAAATAGTTACCATGTTATTTCATTAAGATTATTTAATAAGCTTAGCATCAATGCCAAAGAATTGGACCTTAAGTCATTTAAAAAAAGAGCTCAGGATTGGTTACTTTTAAATCCTTTTTATGACTTAGAAGAATATTTTAAGGTTGACGAAGTTAACTTTTAATGTCCTCACATTTCCACATTGTTTTTTATTTGTAAGCATATGTATTAGTATAGCCTATTTTGACTTGTTTTTAGGCTTGTTTTGTTTTGCCTAAAAATAGGCTGTTTATGTAATAGCTGAATTTTCTTGACTTTTGTCTATTGCATTTGTTGTAAATGTTGAAGGACAATAAAACGTTTCTGATTTCTGATTTCTGATTTCTGATTTATGGACACTTTGTATAAATGACTTAACAAATCAGCTTAAAAATGCATAATATCAAATATACAAACAGACGGTAACATTGAAAATTCTTCTAGAAATATAGCGTTTAGTTTTCGTTGAGCCTACTAGACACGTTTTGAACCATGTAAAGACATTTTGGAATATATCGTTTAAAGGAGCTAGGCTACGTTCCACTCAAAATAAATATCAATACAAGGATATTACAAAAAAAACTTCATTAAAATAAATTTGCAAAACTGAAAATACATAATATTCTTCAATGTGCATACATAATATTCAATGTGGAATAAATAATATTCCATGTAAACACACATCATATATATTTCACTTCAGTATGAATGTAAATTCAAGTAATGACCAACAGAGCTTAACCTCCTTTCCAAACATGACGGGTCTCCATAATAAGATCTTCTTAACGAACTTCCTTAACCTTCCCGGACGTGCTCCTTTAACGTTTTAAAAACGTTTCTTTAGCATAGCCTGGGTGAAACATAAAATATTTACTCTACTATTTTTCAATCATTAGATTAGAGTGATTGAAAAATGTTTTGTTATTTTTGTGATTACAGACAAGTGTTTATTTTGTATAGAACACGAACTATTTATATAAGTTAGATGTAGGCCTATATTCCATTTATATATATATATATATATATACATATATATATATACATATATATATATATATTTAATTTACTGATATTTTATAAATAATGCTGCGTGTAATGTGTTGCTTATAGTGTTACCCTAAAGAGGATAAACTGATTTCTAGAACTCCATTGAACGTGAATAAACATAAAAAACCATTATGATGGTATCTAATTAATCACAGGCTTTAGATGTTTTACTCAACACACTTTTTCCATGTTGCAGCAAATCCAGGCATTCATTTATTAAAATTAAATAAATACTATAAATGAGACAACGCTCTTCGGTATATTTAATCAGGATGTTTTCTTTTGGAAAATCTAATAACTAAGAACACCTCAAACCGTTAAAAATCTTATTTAGAAGTGAACTGACGAACCTACAATTAGTTGGATTATTTGTAACAATTAAAACATTATTTATTTACTCTAAGTTGGTAAGTTTTCTTTCTCTTTAATAGAGAACATGACTTAAAACTGGTGTTAAAAGCAGGCAACAGGTGGCTTTTAAAGCATGAAAGTGTTTTAGCCTGAGAAATCTGTTATTTACACCTTTAAATCTAATCTGTTTATGATGTTTTCCTAAACTAGCAAAATAAATTCCCTAAATAATCTTATACCTTGTACATTAAGCCATTTAGAGTAAATAAATTCGTCTAATAACACGCATTATGCTGATAAGAAGTTGTTAAGCCATGCTCACAAAATAGCATAACATGGATTGTAAAATATTTTTGGTTTGATGGTTATTTTAATCAGTAGGCTGTCACAAAATTTAATTTGTACTAATTTTTCAGGCATTGATTTTGTGTTTTGTACAGATTTTTAACACAAAGGCTAAGAAAATAATAACAACTGTTAACTTATTTACTACTCCAACACAAGTTATAAGTTCATTTAGATACAAGTTCACTCTTACAGTTTTAATCTGTATGCATCATTGCAAGTAATTTCTTCAATGAGGATTTGTTTATTTTTTATTTTACCTTAAAACTTAAATCCTCTTGATCCACCATACTATAAGATTATCCTGTTAGAATGTTATTGCAACAAGGCTCATTCAATTAGGATATTGGATTACATAAAGTCAGTTAGCTCTACAATTGTAAGTAGGCTGACGATTTTCCATTGCAAAAGTTTGTATGATTTGCAGGGCTGTTATAATGCAGTATTATTTAATTGGATGTATTTGAATCACTGACCTTATATACATTAAGCGAAAGAATTAAAATGTATGTAACTCCCTATAATCTTAAACTGTGAAAAGTGCATCTTTAGTGAGTGCTTTACTTAAAAATTATATCATTGACTATTTCCAGATAGTTAAATTGATTAAATTATGTATATCAAGGGGTGGACACGTTTAATACACTTTGTTTAGATGTTTTAGTCGAAAACATTTCATTTTGTAAACATTTTAGCTAATTTCTTATCCTAGCTGTCGTGGTCATCAACATACAATATAATTCGAAGGTTTAATATAAAAGGGAAGCATTTATCACAACTTAACGAGCAACAATAATTACTTTCAATTAAAAAAGTGGTTTAGTGAGGTTTAATAGCCACTTGAAAAAAAGATCGCTATTAAAATGATCGAATTCCAGCTACGACGAGGAAAAGAAGAAAGTGGTGATCGTAATTTAGTTTTAATAATTTGTATAGTGTTATGTTAATTAACAGATTTACATTCCTGGCTGGCTCAGAGATTCATATAACATAACCACGCCCGCGGCTGGTGGGCTGGCTCACCGCTATGAGATTATTTCTTCTTCTTTCCCCTCCGACTGATAAAATATTTACTTTCATCGGTCCAATACTCTCGTTGAATTTGAATACACACAATCCTATAAATATTAATGTAGTATTGCTATGGAAAGCACGCTTTGAATTCATATACATTTTTGTATTACTAAAATGTTACATAGCTGTTTTATAAGTAATTTGGATTATTCAAGAACGACGTTGGTATTGGTAAAAAAATGTATGAAATATGTTTGATGGTTTATATTATTTTTTGGATTTTTAAGTTCTTTATACAAATATTTTTTTTATATCATATAAACGTAATTAGCTGCTTTCGTGAATTTCTTTTACTGATACCATGAGTTGTTATACTAACATTGTTTTAGTTCTTAAAATGTCCAACCACATCTTAATATAATATAGCTTAGTATGCTTCAATAAATTAAATGTTTTGCTAAATGACAGAATAAATAGGTTTCTGAAAGTTATGTTTACTGGTAGGAGAATGCTAGTTTTTATTCAGATTATTAGGAACAATAACGCCTCTTCTTGAAAACTCATCCTAACTAATGCCACTATGACCCCCAGGGTTAATATGCGTATTCCTTTATCTACTTAAATTATTTATCATAAAGTCTAACATTTCACAGGCACGACTAGAAGTCTTGTGCTGACGTCAGTTCGTATAGAGCGTCACACTCTTCTTGGCAACTCCTCCATACTAGAGTGTCACTACGACCTTCAGGGAGAGCCTCTATACTCTGTCAAGTGGTACAAGGATGGCAACGAGTTCTTCAGGTTCCTGCCTAAGGATGTCCCACCCAAACAGGTCTTCCCCCTGAGTGGCGTTGAGGTCGATGTGAGTACCTACATATCTTAGAAATAAATTATGCATGTTTATTATAATGCACGGAGGCAGTTTGGCGTTAAAAAAATGCATAAATCATGCAATTCAAGAAAAAATAAACACATGATTTAAATAGATACATTGAGTGTATAAATAAATTCCACCCAAATTACCTACAACGCATTGCCTAGAATTATTTCACAGTTTAAATCCCTTGATCGAACTAAAGCCATGCAATAAACATAAAAGCGCAATATTTTACATAATTCACAAGACAAAGCCCTGATCCATCTGATTAACAGCGCGCGGTGTTAACAGGTGATAAGGGGGTGATATTTACACCATTGTCTTTCTACTACAATGGATTACCCTAGAGTCCAGCATACTGCAATGCGCTCATGTTATCCTCAACAAATTGTCAGTTTATTGTCCACCATTGTTTACTGCAAACACTTTAAATATTACTGTAAAAAACGATTGAATGAGAAATAAATATATAATTTAGGGATCACGTCCCTTAAGGTTGTTGTTACATTTTAAATACAGTGCTGATCTACCTTTTTTATCAAATAACTTTCAAAACAGTGTTTCCAAGTGATCATGTACTTTATTTAATACAATAAGCAAGGGGACTGACACAAATATGGGCATAATATTTACCTAATTCCAACTGTGAATTAGAAAAATATTTTCGAGATTGAATATATTTTATCATGGCTGTTTACCTGTAAGTTTTCTTGTTAGTGTACTTAAGACGTCATTAATTAAAACATGTAACAATATATATTTTGAAGTAAATTAGTCACTTACGTTCAATAAATCGTAAACCAACTATGTTTTATCAAACGGTGAGGAAACAGTTTAATTAATCCAATAAAACATTGAGTGTGTAAATATATATTGACTGACAAAACAAATATAGTTTTCTTATTAAAATATATATTCTGGGTTAGGTGGATCGTTCGAATGCCACTCAAGTACGACTGATCAAGTTGACATTGGCGAGTACAGGCAGATATAGATGTGAGGTGTCGGCGGAAGCTCCTTCCTTCCAAACCGTCTCAGACCACGGCGACATGCAGACAGTTGGTGAGAGCTCAACACAATTGACTAGGCTTAGTATGAGAACAGTACAATGTATTTCTTCGTGTGTGAGTCGCACAAGAATCAGCGTGATTCTTCTTTTAGTAATTTTAAAACATTTGGCTTATAATATTCCACCAGAAATGAATTGGTCCAGGACCACAATAACTGTAGCCTGGATAAAATCATAGCAAAAAGATTTTCAAGAAAATTTGGCGGGGGTTTTTAACCAACTTAAACGGTTACATTTGCACCAATTTAAAGCATACATCACTTTAATATTGCATATGTTGGGGTTGTTGAAGGAATACATTGAAATCTCACACAACAAAACAGAATTTTCTTTAGCTGATGTATAACGTAATTATCTAAAAACTATACTGGCAAACGAAGGATCATTCCTTTTTTCAATTTTAATATGATAACATTAGTTTACGCCACCTGACATGTGCTACAACTTGATGCAAACAGCTCTTAAAGAATAATCAAAATCACTAGTGCATGAGTTGTGTTTGACACCATTAATCTAGTCTAGGGCCTAACATTGATAAATTGGCCATACAGTATTGTGAAGGCTAGAAGTTTTCTAACCCCAGTGTTATCGCTCCAAAGGTAAATTTAACTTAATCTCAAATACAACATTGGGGTTGAAAAAAAAACTTGCTCTAAAAGTTGTAATGTTAATTTAAAATCCTAAAATTGATTGATCAAAGTGGTTGCTGTGCTGTATGTTGAATGTTTAGCTAAGCTATAACCTTTATTTTACAGCAATACCCAAGGAAGGTCCACGTATCATTGGAGGCAGACCTAGATACCAACTCGGAGACACGGTTAGGGTAAACTGTACTTCAGGACCTTCCCGACCAGCCACCCAGCTCACTTGGTTCATCAACGGAGAACAGGTTGATAATGTTTAACTATAATTCTGGCAATGTTTTGAGATAGTTGAATGTAGAATACTTTAAAGACAATGGTTTTCATGTAGAAAATTTTAGAAAACAAACCTCATATGGTATGGTGAAACATATTTTTGCAATTCTCTCAATGCAGGCATGTCTTAAAAAAGTTACATCTGCAAACCGTACGGATCCATGCAGGATTATTTCTGCTTGAATTGCATAATCTGGCCAAGATTTGAGAAAATTTCGATTACCTTAGGTTCAATGCCGGTTTTAACTAGAACTGTGGGTTGATCAGATTACATTAGCAAGCAAACACAGGAAAAATACCGATACAAATTATATGTATGTAATGTCCACATCTTTACTTATAAAACTTGTTATAAATTCTGACAGTTCTGAGCGAAACTGATATGTTGAATTGATGAAATAGTTGTATTTTGGATTATATCTATAATTTGTTTATTGCTTTATTATTAAAAACCATGAAAAACGTGATCATTCCTCTCAACTGGCTTTCACTGCCATGAAAGCAATCCTAGTTATTATAAGTGAAGATGAAGACACCGCCTAAGGTGCGTATTCTAACCCAAATATAAGAGAATGATGATCGTAGAATGGAGTGAGATGATCTGTGTAGCTTTTTCACTAGCCACGATTATTTCTTTAAAACAAAATGATCGGGAACAGCTCCAGTTTTGAACCACAAAAAATCTAGGCTTTCTAAGTGAAGCACTATAACTACTCGGCTACCCAGCCTAAACTAAAATAACTGTTTGACAGGCTAACCAATCGTACGTGATTGGGCCAATCCGCAAGCCTCACAAAGGGTTTGAAATGGTGACTCTGGGACTAGTGTTCCGTGCAGAACCTCGCCACTTCAAGCGAGGAGACCTCAAACTGAAATGTCTGGCCACCATCGCCACCGTCTACTGGAGAACGAACGAAGAGAGTGTGGAGAGTGACAAGCATCACAAGTCTCCAGCCTTGGAGATGAAGGATACGGACAAGTCTATAGCAGACAGAGTACGAGGTGGGTACAATGTGAGGTTGACATAGTTATAGTGAGTTGAGATGTAACACTACTTAAAACCTAGAGTGTAGGGAGATAGGAATCAAAAATTTTAGATTAAGTTTTAAATTAAGTAATAGAGGGAAATGGTTTTCCTATTCTTGAATCCATCCATTCATCTTCTCAAGTAAGCTTTATTTAATAACTTGCTTTTTGTTGGATATAATTGACAAGACCCAGTTTAGAAAGTATAATGACCAAACATATAAAAAGTATAATGTTCATGATCATAATATTCATGATACAATACATAACATCTAATTTTTCTTCACCAAGTACAATTTGTTCAAAATGTTAGGAATAATTAAATCATATTCATTGTTTAATCATTATTAGTTGAAAACCCAGTTTTGACAATTTCTGGGTCTAGAATCTGGTACGATCCACAGGTGAGGAAGTATCTTAACCATACAAATGTTATATTAGCACAATCCCTCCAAAGCTAGAAAACTACACAAGTAAGTGGATTTCAGTTTAGACAATAAACATACATTTAACCTGTTTTTTTAACAAAAGAAAAACTGATCCAATGTTTGGTCAGTATATTGATCTAGGTACGTTTGCAGGACTTTCTAGCTGAGGACAAGATCATATTGCAGACCAGATTTAAAACTTGTCTTCACTGTTCGTGATAAAATTATCCATGAACATCACTAGATAACATAAAATTACACTTACCAAAAATAGACTAAAAAATAAATAACTTCATTGTGCAACCTTCCCTAAATTATTGTTGACGACTCGGTTGATGCGTATTTCCTTTTAAAAAGTACCTGATGTAAAGTTGTTGCTTTTCAGCTGCGACTAGTTGCTGTTCGTCTTCAGGCAGTGTGGTCTGTTTAGTAGTTGTTGTACTCGCTGTGACCTCAGCAAGATAACCTGACTCATCCAGCTCCACGTTGGACTAATCTTCCATCTTCCACTAGTTTAAATGTCTGAGTTTTCCGAGATACGCTATCTTTTTCGGACAAAAATGTAGTTAAGTATAAAGCTGTACTGGCTTACCCCGACGAATGAAAAAAGTTGAAAAATGGTCGTCTTAACAGTTTGATATTATACATTTACGTAAAATAATTGTCAAGTCACTAAAGTAATGAGTTATATACCATCTCAAAACGTTTGGTATCAACATTTTGACACACTTTGCTTACTAAAATTATTTTCCATTTGTGCGTATAGTAATAAAAAATTTCAGTTGTATTCTTCTATTCCTATCTAGTCAATGGTTTCCCTTAAGTAATAATTCTTTTAAAACAATAATTTTGATGGTAAAATTAGATAAAAAATAATCAAAGACATTTATTAACATGAAAATTGGATGTTTACTTAGAAAATAATGTTGCTCTAAGTACAGTGTTATTGTAAGTATCTGTGTGAACTATATCTGTGGAAATGTCGTCAGACAGCCCACTTGACTTTGTTATGAAAAATCAGTTATTAATTATAAATCGAACCGCATTTCAGTGTATAATGTTGCAGACCGGAGTTAATTATCTAATTTTGACTTTAATTGCAAAGTAAAACTTTTAAACTTAGTTGCTAGAAAATTGACTGTAGCTTCCATTTCGTACGATTCTTGTAAATTTACGGATAGATAATTCCAATGTATATACTGTAGATGATAAATTTAAAACATCCCTACCATGGTAAGCTAACTTGTTTATTTATTTATGTACAAAGATAAAACATTTGTCAAACGTATTTTTACAAAATGCATCAACGAAACTAGCTTTGACTTATTACCTATTGTACAAATTATTGATGATGAAACGGTTTTGTGTTTTCTTCCTTCTTAAACATTATCTCAAAGTTTTCTCTAGGAAACTTGGCATAATTTACTAGTGTATTCTTCGTGTTGGTTACTACGCAAAATGTATAGATTATAAAAATAAAAACTAGAGTTAGAAATACTCGGCATTTATACATATCATCTAAGTATTTGGCCTACAGCTGCAGATTGTATTTACTTTGCTATGTATATACTATTTTAGTAGTGCAATGTTCTTTGTTTGATTATTAAGAAACTTATATTAAACATATTTTGTTAACTTATTTCAATTATTTGTGACCCATTTATGTACTACAGTTAGATAAGTTGATACACAATTCGTTGGAAAATTTACGTGTTTAAAATGGTTTTGTAGAATAAAATACAATGATTCTCTCAATACCTTACGATTTATAAGTACAGTATATTCAATAAATCGTATATATTAAGCAAAGATCAACTAGGCCTAATAGATATTCATGCAACGGTTGTTTCTTATCCTAATTTTGAATTTAAATAGTCGTGGGTACATTTGAACAATAAAACAACCCAACAATAACATTTTACGGGGTGAATCAAAACAGGATTCTAGACTTGCTTTTTTCGTTTACGAGGCGTTCTTAATAATCAATAAACAAGTGAGCTGGTCTAGTGGTTAGAGCGCGGGACTTCACATAGGTTCCGGGTTCAAATCCCACCAAATCAACAATGGATTTTATCTATGTGACAATGCCGCAACTCCTAGGTCTAGCCTGAAGTAATGTGAAAAACAATTCTGGGCTCGTGCCTAAAGTCCTAGGGGAAAAAAACTAGCATCATCATATCAACTGTTGTACTAGCCCCATCTTTGAAGATCTTGAACAATTCTTATACCTACGCCTACTTACAATAGTCCCCTTACACAATAGCTTACACAATAGTCCCCTACCTAAATTGACGTTTATAATAATATAACAATATATTTAATTTGCCTCACAGTTATATGTATATGATATAATGCATTGTTAAATATATTTATCATACTTAACCTAAACAAAAATGTTTGTTTTTTCCTTTTCAAGTCATACAAATGGCGGCCACTAGGGGGATTTGTATCCGTCCCAAACGCAGCCTAAATTAAGCGACGCTGTTTCCATAATGACCTCTAATTACTAAGGAGTAATACACGACTATTTATAAAGTTTCCTCTTTTAGTTAGTCGAGATGTTAATTAATTTGGAGGTTTCAGCTTGTGCGACGTTGAAAAGTGCAACTGAAGCTAAAATGTAAGCAGTGTGTGTCTTTAATAAAATACATGCCTGAAAAACCGCGTCAGGATTTACTGTGCTTAAATTTGCAAATGTTCAAGTGGTTGATGTTATTTAATTACTGATCATATTTGAATAATATTTACGTGAACTTTATAATTGATTATGGGGATGACATTAAGTCTAGTGCGTACTTGAGATATAGTTTTTTTTGTTATATTTATATTTAGTAAAACTTAATTGCAAGGTTTTTGTAAACCATTTTATTTTAGTTTATTAACAATAATATTTCCGGTAGGATAATTTTATTTCGAATTTATTTAAATATAAATTGTAACTTAACTTATATAACTGTATCCAAAAAATTTAGATGATTTAAATATTCATAAATAATAATAACCTGGTTTATACATCATTTACAGCAATGACCCTTAAGCAAATCAATAGTGATTAAGTAGAACTAATGTACAAAATATAAAATCATATTGGTACTATTTATTGAAAGAAATTTAAGTAACAACCAATAAAAAATATGGATATAATAACTGTTTGTTAAAATTATTAAATTTAATAACATTTTACTAGGAAAACATTTAATTAAAATAAACTAAGTACGTTTCATCTCTTAACACTAATTACACATCAGTTAAAGTATCTTAGCAGGAATGCAATTACTCTGTGAGAAATGTTGAGACCTTTTATATAACTAGACACTCCAGCTTGATTAATTCTTGTTCCTTTTTGCGAATGTAGATACAATATCTCAAAGGTAAAAGATTGAGCGAAACTGATGATTTAGGCTGATAATAATATCTTACTTGTGTATAGCTTTTTGATATTACTAATGGATGGTATATTCAAAAATGATGTTCAATTCTAGTTTTAGTAAAGAACTGCATAAACAGAACTTCTATTGTTTACAGCTCAACGAAAGTTAACAACAATAGGTATCATGGCTTGGACCTTCACCTTTTCTAAGTCTCTTATGATTAGTTTGATTTAAATCAGATCCTCAAGGTTATAGGATAAAAGTATATTTTATTTAAATAATTAATTTATTAGAACTATTGAAGTTTTTTAATGTGTAAAGGCAACACCAATAAAATCAAAAGGTCCAAAAATCTTAAGTTTTCATTCAAAACAATACAATATACAAATACAATACATACAAATACAATACATACAAATACAATACATTCAAATGCAAATACAAATACAATATATTTTAGTTTAAAAAATATATAAAATATCATTGATAAAAATCGTTGTTTTGTGTCAGTAATCACTTAATGTCAAATAGAGATAATCATCAGTAACAATCACATGATTAATCCCCTTGTAGAACACAATCTGTCGAAGCGGCTTTGTCAACGGTACAATGTAAACACATGGACAAGGAAATCGGCAAACTGATGCTGATGTTGAATCTAACCTTTCAGAGTAATATTACAGAAAGACCTAGACGAAAAAAGGCGTAGATAAATGTTGTGACATGCAATAAAAGTGTTTGAAGTGAGCAGAATCATTTAGGACTTTGGTAGACTTTAAACTTTGCATTTGCCCGCCCTAAAGGCTAGTGGTGCTATGTATTAATCAAAGCAATTGGTGGTTTGATGTTTATTTGAAGGAAATGTACTGATACATCTTTAGTGGAATCAGTGGAAAGCGGACCAAGGCTGTCTTGAATTTATGGACCTTTGCAATACCAACCAAGGCACTGAATCCCATTAATTATTCTCCAAGTTCATTATGTATAAACACAAAATTGTATGATGAGTACCTGTTTTTACGTTAAAATTATGTTCGTTTTTAAAATATTATGTTAGGATATTGTAGTGTGTCAGTCGCTGTAAAATGTATCTTTTAATATTACTGTAAGTATAAAATATGTGTTACATGTTACTAGATGAACGTTTATTTAACATTTGTGGTCAAACTTAAGTAAAGTTATTTAGTTTGACTAGCAGAAAAAATTATAAATAAACCTTGTCATATAAAGAAAATATTTTTAATACCAAGCAATAGTGTAATGCCAGCTTTTGCATTGCTTCTAGCCAAATAAATCATGAGGTGCTAGTTAAAAAGAAAAAAAAGAAACTAAACTCTCTCTCTCTCTCTCTCTAAAAAGAAAGGATTCTTTAATTTAATCACTTCAATTACAGTTTTCCATGAAGTGAAACAACTGTAAGCGACGTGAATTCATGAGGAAAAGTGTAAATATTTATTTTTCTACAAGAGATGAAATACTGTAATAACAATTGCATATTATTCTCCTTATTAACTGCCAAAGAGTTTCATAAAATCCTTCGAAATATGTATTAAGTCAATGGATTGGGTATAGTAACATTAAAACAACTCGGTTTGTTAAGATATATGTAATGACGTGTTATAATTGATACAAACCTCCGTTAACCTACTTTTACAGACCACAATTTAATTAGTTTTTTGTCTTAAAGTGAAGGAAATGTGAAATGAAGAATTTCAAATTTAGCAGATTAGTGAACATTGACTTCGACTAGGTATATGAGGTTGTCATTTGATTTATTGTTTCTTGAACGGAAGCAATGCATTTGTTACTAAATTAATCGTTTAATTATATGCATGCACTCTTATCTTACGTAAGTACCTGTAACGGTTTGTTTTTAGGTGTTACTTCTTTTAAATGATGTTTATTATTATATAATATATTGTGGGGGATGAGCTCGCTTGGCAGTGAGCACAAAGAAAGGTACTCGAGATTCGATTATACAAAATTCTATATTATATTCTCAACACAAGTAGTTTTAATAATTACAGAGATAAAGGGAAAAATAGAATATAGATATTATATCAAGAACAATGAATGGCAAATACTAAATGACAAAATATGGTTTTCAATCAAAAATAATTGTTTATGTTATTATTCTCAAAATAACTATTCAACCAAAGAGGCAATAGAAATTGGTAAATTTATATATATTGTTTCAATAACTCTGTGTTATTAAAAGTATGAATTTAATATGACAAGTATTAAGTGTCTTTATTAGTATTTCAAATCTATCTGTGCTCTAAGTCCAAAAATATTAAAAGAGTATAACGGCCTTACCTTGGCCAGCCGGCGCTGGTTCCTAAGGAAGAGTGAACTATTGGTAAAAGGTCTACCACCGATGGTACTTTCAATTTGGCTGCAAAGAGAGAGGGTAAGGCCATAATCAGCAATTTGTTGGGTATTGAACCTACTGAATGCAAGAAGCAGCACAAAACTGCTTACACTCAGCAATCTACTTTACACAACCAACTGCTGTAACTGATACTTCTACAATTGTTTGATTGATTGAAAATCATTTACAATATGAATTTTTAAGTTTATTGTTAAATTTCATTCTTCCCCAAAAATTAAAGTCGTCCTACCATCACATGCCCCCTCCTTCGGGAGACATGGTCCCCATGTCTACATATATAAATACATAATTTCAAAAGAAAAAGTTTTTAAAAAATCACCCAAAATTATAACATTTTTATCTGTGAGGAATGAAAATATGTGTCCAATAGCTGAGTGTATCAAAAAATATAAATAAAAATGTCACCATTTTTCACAAAAGATGAATTGTCCGAAAAAGTCCATTAACTTGAATTAAGTGCCACTGTCCTGGATTCTTCACAAGGTCGTGTCAACAACCTGATGTAGTGAGGAAGTTGAATGAAAAAGCTGACACCTTGCAGAGATTCAGCACGTAGGGTCGTGTGTCAGCTGGGTAGGCCTCCAAGTGGTCTGCTGACAGTGGTATTTGCATGCAACAGAGAATACAACTGAATTAGTGTACTATATATATAACAAATTTCTGAATTAATTTATTTTGAAAAAATCAGGTAATAAAAAAAAATTGGTAAGGCCGTTTTTGTATTGTTTAAAAGGAAGAAAATAATCTGTTGCCTCTTTAAGTTTTACAAAAAATGAATGATCTATTATGACATCTGACATCTAAAATAAAGTTTAAAATCTAACATATACTTTCAATATGACTATCCCAAAAAATAGTATCCCACA